CTTTATATGAAGAGTCTCTACGTTCTATCGTTGCATTTATTGCCTTATATGAAGAGTCTCTACGTTCTATCGTTGCATTTATTGCCTTATATGAAGAGTCTCTACGTTCTATCGTTGCATTTATTTCTATATATGATGAGTCTCTACGTTCTGTTATTGCATTTATTTCTTTATATGAAGAGCCTCTACATTCTGTCGTTGTACTTATTTCTTTATATGAAGAGTCTCTACATTCTCTCGTTACATTTATTTCTTTATATGAAGATTCTCTACGTTCTATCGTTGCATTTATTTCTTTATATGAAGAGTCTCCACGTTCTATCGTTGCATTTATTTCTTCACATGAAAAAATTTTTTGTTATACGCAGTTTATAGACCTTTTTTGGGTGTGGTTTATAATCAATTTTGATATGTATTTTTGAACTGCATAACGTTTCACTACGAAATAAATGTTAGACTTTCTGGTATTTGTGGACTAAAACACTAAACCTAAATCTGGGAAAGTTAAATATCTGCACAGGTATCCCTGATTTCAAGATCCAGTTTTTACTTGGGTTTTTTTTTTCAGCATAATATTTTCAACAGCTGTTATAATGCCATATTAAAAGCTATAACTGAAGATATGTTCAGACTGAGGCTTGATTGAAATACTCAGAGCCCCTAATGTCCTTCATTAGTAATTTTATCTGAACCAATCTTCTTGGTTTTTCAAATAAATCAGAAAGTTGCTGTGTTTTATTGTTTTCTCTGCTTTATTGGTTTTTTTTTCTTCCTCCCACAGCCTTCTCCAGTGGGTACCGATATCACTATGACTACCACGGCAGACTGTTGGCTGGACTCCCTACTGTACATGGTCAGTATTCCGGACTCGAGATTTGGGCTGACCTGAAATTGCATTCAGTCGCCTCTCAGTCGAATTATGCCTTGAAGACATTTATTTTAAAGGTAAGTAACAGAGTAATAAAACATTACAGAAATAACTATGAGAAGACCATATGTATTAGAAATGTGTGATTCGAGGCAATTATTACATTAGTAACTACTTGATTCATGGAATAAAGTCCTAAAAATGGTTACATATCAAACAAACAATAAGTACATATTTAATTTCTGAAAAATAAAGAACAAACTTTATAATCGTTAAAACTCGGTCCGTTATAAAAAGATATTAAAATTCTACAGCAAAATGCGCTCTACTTAGTTTATAAAAACGTATTTCAACAAAGGTACTGAAAAACATTTGGTATTTTTTTGTTGTTGAAAAATTGTATTTAAAAAAAAAGACCATATGTAGCCTAGTGGTTAGCGTGCTGGGCTGCGGATAGACAAGTCCAAGGTTCGAGATGTGATGTTATTAGCCACAATGTGCAGTTTCAGCTATGAGCGTTCATTACGAAAATGATAGTAAAGCCCGTCATTCAGTTCCAAGAACCAAACTGAACCCTTATGGCGGCAAAAGCTACGAGCTGGCTACCTTCCCATGTATTCAGTAGTTCAAAATTAACGACTGCGATAATTCTGACCAGGCCGTTTAACCATATGTACATAAAATGCTAGAATAGGTCGACTTGAATACCCAATTCACTGACGGCATACCCAGTAGGTGCGCTTGTATTGAATGACGTCACTTCCATTTGTCCCAGATATGGTGTTCTCTAGTGGATGCAGCCATATTGGATAAAATCATGGCTAATTATCTATATATACATAATCATTAATTAACTGTTCCTCATACAATGATGGATGACCTTATCTATAATCCATATTCATAACCATTATTAATTACACTCTGGCACAAGAACATGCCCTGACATGTTGGGTGACGTCATCATTAATGATAATTTTATTTATCATACATCATCACTCAGTAAATAGATCATGATGGATCATGTCATTTATATTAATCACTATATAGGTTATTAATGATTTCCAGTAGTTATACAGTCTTAATACTCTCTCAGACAATGGAAGACGTCCAGGTTCTAGCTTTTGAATGCATAGTCATAATTTACCAAACATAATCAGAAGTTAATTACCCATCATTCCTCTGGTACTAAGTGCAGAAGGCTGAGTGATATCATTACTATTGGTGCCATATAGAACATGTATTGACAAGGCTCAACATTAGTAAGTATGGCGTAAGTAATTAGCACAATAGCTTACCATTTCTCTGGTACCCAAACACGTCCAAACATGTGGAATGACCTCATTACCATTCCAATAGAACAAATCCCAACTTGCTTGATCATTGGTTACCTCATGGATAGGTCCTCCTTGATTCGTTGAATTTCAGAACATAATGAATCGGGAAAGACCGTCCATGACTGTTTTTCAACTTCAATTTAAGCCATACCGCCACGTCATGGCATCTTCCTATGGTATGATCATCGAACTTTGTTTAATGTCATGTCAAAATCAGAGGTTCTCTGGGTAGAAAGTGATCAATCACCAAAGAACAGAGGAAAAACAAATTTACCCAACAAAAAGAAGTAAAAGGCTTTGGCTCGCATCAGTAACATTTAGACTCACTCACCCACACTTCAACTGAATTCTAGCTAGTGAAAGAATTTGTTTCTTCCTGAACTTCAATGAAATGAATATAAACTAAACGTATAAAAAATCAACTATGATCTATTGATCAAATAGGTCTAATTTGCACTAAATATATATATAATACCATATAATGGCACCTACCCAGTGTATTTGACAAATACAAACCAGGAAAACCGAGGCAAACAAGATAACTGAGACTGGTCGTTCCTGGTAGGGTAATGTATCTATCTATCACGTTATCCATGAATCTAAAACCTGGATCAGTATGATCAGTGCTATCCATGAATCTAAAACCTGGATCAGTATGATCAGTGCTATCCATGAATCTAAAACCTGGATCAGTATGATCAGTGCTATCCATGAATTTAAAACCTGGATCAGTATGATCAGTGCTATCCATGAATCTAAAACCTGGATCAGTATGATCAGTGCGTTGAAAATCACATGTATTGATAAGATATCATGATTTAAACTTGAATACTTTATTTCTGTATTATTGTGTTGTATCACACACAAATTTACTGTTAGAATGTCATGACTTCAACTAGAATAACTTATGTCTATATTGTTCTATTGTATCACACACAAATGTATTGTTAAGATATCATGATTTAAACTTGAATACTTTATTTCTGTATTATTGTGTTGTATCACACACAAATTTATTGTTAGAATGTCATGACTTCAACTAGAATAACTTATGTCTATATTGTTCTATTGTATCACACACACAAATGTATTATTAAAATGTCATGCTTCAATTCGAATAACTTATTTCTGCATTTTTGTATTGTATCACACACACACACACACACGTGTATTTTAAAAATATCATGAAATCAACTAGAATAATTTATTTCTTTATTGTAGCATACATATGTATTGTTAAAGTACCATGACTTCAATTAGAATAACTTATTTCTGTATTGTTATATCGTATCACACATTCATGTATTTTTAAAGTACCATGACTTCAACCAGAATAGCTTATTTCATTATTGTATCATACCCATGTATTTGTTAATATACCATGACTTCAACTAGAATAACTTATTTCATTATTGTATCATACCCATGTATTTGTTAATATACCATGACTTCAACTAGAATAACTTATTTCTGTGTTGGTATTGTATTATACACATGTATTGTAAAGATGGCAGGATTTCGACTATAATAGATTATTTCTGTATCGTGGTATCGTTATTTTAAAACATAAGAATGACCTAAATCCTTATAGTTTGAAATTTATGTATAAAATAGTACAATATTCAATTTGTCGGTAACCTTGCATTGTTAATGTGTATATGATAGGTGTTTTACATTTTAAAATACATGTATTTATTTCCTGACGATCTCACTAAAGGTCACAAGATTATTTTTGGTCATCAATTAATCAAAACATAATGAAAAGAACATATTCTTCAAATCTGAAACATTAAATTTAAACATGAAAGTTAAGGTGACTGAGTATTTTTTTTTTTTTGCTTTTTGATAAAGGTTATTTAAAAATAAAAGAATGCAAACATTAAGGCTTGTAAAAATACTCAAATGTTTTTTTCTAATAGCTGGATAACGTTCGAGTAGCTAAACTCCACCGACGTATCTCTGATCCATACCATACAGAGGTACACAAAGAGTATACAGGGTCTTCAGTATACCAGCAAAAACTCTCGAAACCAGTGACAGTCTATATGGAGGAAAATATGGTAAGTAGATGGACATTAGATTCCCTTAGTCATCTGGTATACTGTACGAATCGTTCTTTCTTCTTCTTCTTCTACTTTGTAGTGCGCAGCAATTTGTAGATAACGTTACAGTAAAAAAAAGTGTAATATTATCTTCACATAAAAGTAAAATGAATAAAATACTATTGGAATGTTCTAAAAACAGAAGGAAAAAGTTATTATTATGCGGCAGTCTTTGTCTTTTTTGGTTTTGCTAGGTTAAGGACCGTTTTCAGATTTCTCTTACGTGTACCATTCTTCAGGCTGTGCTGATTAGAATATTTCTTACTTTAAATGGTCTCATCAGAAGTCGATAGTAATATATAAATATCATTAAAAACTAATGCGCTTTTAGACATTGATTAAAGAATCTGATTTAAATTTAGCAGATGAGTTTTTTTTAATGATGAACACAAACAGCCCATTGTGCAGTTTTCTGCTTAATAACAAACAAATTTTCTGTGCAACCTGAATTGACTTAGAAAAATAGTTTAAGTAAATCCTCACTAGTGGCGCTAAAAAGTTGCCACGAAATGGGCTATTGGTGCTGTGCCCACTACGGGTATCGAAACCTAGTTTGTAGAATTATAAGCCTTCAAACTTACCTTTGAGCCACTGGAGGCGTTAATAAATAAATATATCTATCAATTTGTGATAGAATGTATCTTTTAAACCTTTTAAGTCTCATACAATCAGTTTAGTTAGTTTTTTTTTTACTTTAATATGTACATTGATCTATTCTTCTGAAGCAAAGGGCATTGAAATAAAGTAAAAACTGAAGCTAAGGGCGTTTAAATAAAGTAAAAAACTGAAGCTAAGGGCGTTGAAATAAAGGAAAATATCTGGAGCTAGGGCATTGAAATAAAGTAAAAAACTGAAGCTAAGGGTGTTGAAATAAAGTAAAAAATCTGGAGCTAAGGGCATTGAAATAAAGTAAAAAACTGAAGCTAAGGGCGTTGAAATAAAGGAAAATACCTGGAGCTAGGGCATTGAAATAAAGTAAAAAACTGAAGCAAAGGGCATTGAAATAAAGTAAAAAACTGAAGCTAAGGGTGTTGAAATAAAGTAAAAAATCTGGAGCTAAAGGCATTGAAATAAAGTAAAAAAATCTGTACCTAAGGGCATTGAAATAAAGTAAAAAATGTAATATTTAAAGTCATCGTTCCAAATACACTACTAATGTAGTTGGACACTCGTTTTTTTGTTCACACTATTAACTTTGATATTTTATTATTTTGAATATAATTTCAAAGCAAATATTTATAAAGACACAGCTGTTGACATCTATAAGAGTCAGTAAGAATAACATATTGATACTTGAAGTGATTTATTAGTAAAAGTAATAGACTCTGAATAAAAAGCTAAAATATTCAGGTGAGCCTAAGATAATACAAAACAAATATTTTACACAGCTCATAATTATATCTTTCGAGATTATCCAAAATTCCCAACATAGCTTGAAATTAAAATATAATCATTCGAAACTGGTGGATCTGAAATTTATCGATTTCAGCTCCTTACACGTTTTTATCATGTTCCTATTCAACCAAACACTTAACAATAAATATGTTGAAGCTAATTCCTCTGTTGAAATTAGAACTTTTGAAATGATTTATTTAGTGTCTTGATTTGTTTTAAATAAGTATTCAGCATAGACTGCACTTCCTCTATTGAAACCTACAGGTTAATCATATTGAAGCTGAGCAGACGGATCCCACTTGGTCAGTGAATGTGAAGAAGTCAATTTTGAGTATAATCCAGACGAAACTAGTCCCGAAGAATCCGGATGTGTCCCCCTTTGAAAAGGATGTCCCGTTGACAGACAACGACGCTACAATCTACAAAGTGTACGAAGTAAGCTCTAGCTTTACTGAAGTGTTTATCTTTTAGTAAGTTCAGTCCTGAAGAATTATTAATGTTCGACTGATGTGTTGCATATTAAGTACGACTATACTTCCAGGTATTATCAAGCGCAGTAGACATGCTTGTTGACATCCCGTACTTGGCTGGTTGTACTTATGGTTGAATCATGTAACCTCAACTAGATAAAGAAATCTGTTTTAAACCCTACATGGTACGATTTTAAGAAATCTGTTTAAAACCCTACATGGTACAATTTTAAGAAATCTGTTTAAAACCATACATGGTACGATTTTAAGAAATCTGTTTAAAACCATACATGGTACGATTTTAAGAACTCTGTTTAAAACCATACATGGTACGATTTAAAGAAATCTGTTTAAAAACCTACATGGTACAATTTTATGAAATCTGTTTAAAAACCTACATGGTACAATTTTAAGAAATCTATTTAAAAACCTACAGGGTACAATTTTAAGAAATATATTTAAAAACCTACAGGGTACAATTTTAAGAAATATATTTAAAACCCTACATGGTACAATTTTAAGAAATCTGTTTAAACACCTACATGGTACAATTTTAAGAAATCTGTTTAAAACCTTACATGGTACAATTTTACATACTTTTTCATTTCTATGAAAAATAGAGCTCCATATCAACTTTTAAATGTATTATCCCAGTTATTCATTACAAACATACTCAGTTCTTTATCCCAGTTATCCATTACAAACATACTCAGTTCTTTATCCCAGTTATCCATTACAAACATACTCAGTTCTTTATCCCAGTTATCTGTGACGTGCACACACAGTTCTCTACCCCAGTTATATATAAAACAAAGTTCTCTACCCCAGTTATATATAAAACACAGTTCTCTACCCCAGTTATATATAAAACACAGTTACTCTACCCCAGTTATATATAACACACAGTTCTCTACCCCAGTTTATATAACACACAGTTCTCTACCCCAGTTATATATAACACACAGTTCTCTACCCCAGTTATATATAAAACAAAGTTATTTACCCTAGTTATGTGTAACACATATTGTTTATTATCCCAGTTACCTGTGACACCCCAGTTCTCTACCCCAGTTATATGTAACACAAAACTCTTTACCCCAGTTATATATAATACACATTTCTTTACTCCAGTTATATGTAACACAAAGTTCTTTACCCCAGTTATATGTACCACAAATTTCTTTACCCCAGTTATGTGTAACACACATAGTTCATTATCCCAGTTATCTGTGATACACACAATTATTTATCCAAGTTGTATGTAGCACGCTGTTATTTAACCCAGTTACTGTATTTGCCCGAATATATTGCGCCTTTTCTTTTTCATCCAAATAACTCCCAAAAAATCGACTGCGCATTATATTTGCGCACGTTCAATTCTGACTAGAAGCTACCATCTAAAATCATTCAAGCATAATTAACTGCTTGAAAAATAAAATTGCCTATCCAATGTAACGGATGGGGTGGATGATGGGCATCGGAAGAAGATGAAGCAAAGGATATAGGAAGCAAATCCGATAAATGCGATGAATCCAATGGTAGCGATGACGAAGATTTATATGAAGATGAATGATTGTATTACTTTTCAATAAATTTTCTAAAATTGACACGTAAAAAGAATTTCAATGAAAGACTTCCAAAAATGTTACATTGATAGTTGTTTATTGTATTTAGAAATTATTCAATACATTCTGTACAACTGATGTGTAAAAAAACAAATTTTCTTCAATCTAACCTTTCAAAATTGGGTGCGCATTATATTCGGGCAAATACGGGCATAAACTCACTGTCTCAGTAATCTGTGGCACAAGGTTTTCAGAATTAGTTAGCTATTACAGTGTCTGAGTCAGCTGTCACTCAGAACTAGTTTTTACTATGAATAACATACTGTCTCGTTTTCCTGGGACACAGGGTTAGTTTTTAATACGAATAACACACTGAGGCACATTTAGGGGACAGATTAGTTTTTACTATGAATAAAACACTGAGACACATTTAGGGGACAGATTAATTTTACTATGAATAACACACTGAGACATTTAGATTAGTTTTTACTATGAATAAAACACTGAGATACATTTAGGGGACAGAAGATTAGTTTTTACTATGAATAACACACTGAGGTACATTTAGGGGACAAAAGATTAGTTTTACTATGAATAAAACACTGAGATACATTTAGGGGACAAAAGATTAGTTTTTACTGTGAATAATACTTTTTTTCACTTCTCTAGGGCACAAGGTTAGGGTGCACTAATAATAATACATTGTCTCTATTTTTCGTAGGGGAAAGGTGTAGTTTTTACTTTAACTTAACCCTAGTTTAAAGTCACAGGGATAGTTTTTTACTACAGATAACCCATTGTCTCACTTTTCTTTACCCAGGGTTATTTTTTACTATAAATAGAAAATTTTCCCACTTTTATGGGACACGTGCTTAGCTTATACCAGGAATAAAATATTGTCCCACTTTTCTGGGACAATGAGTTAGCTTTTGCTTTGAATAACATACCGTCTCACGTTACTGGGACACAGGGTAGGTTTTAAAATGAATGGCAAATTGTCACACTTTTGTGCATCATTTTTCTGCTCTAAACTAATCTCAGTTTCAAGTCACAGATATACCTTTTACAACAAATAACATGATGTTTCAGTTTTAGGGGACAAAAGGTTAGTTTTAACTAATAATAACATTTTGTCTCAATTTTCTAAGACAGGGTTAGCTTTTACTTATAATAACACATTATCTTATTTTCCTGGTAGACGGAGTAACTTTTTCGGTGGATGAGATACCGTTTTACTTTTATAGAACAAGGGTTTAGTTTTTACTATAAATTAATTTTCTTCTCTCTTTTGTAGAATAAAGGTGTGGTTTTTACTACAAATAACACACTATATCACTTTTCTGGATATAGGGTTAGTTTTTACCAGGAATAATGCATTTTCTAATATTGTTATGAGACACAGGGTTAGCTTATACTATGAATAAAACATTATTTCACTATTCTGGTTAGATTGTACCATGGATAACACAAAGTTGACTTTTATTATGACCTCACTTTTGAGGGACACGTTTTTTAATATGAATACCATGTCCCACTTTTCTAGCACACAATATTAGATTTTACTTTGTTATATACAATATCTCATTTTTCTGGGAAACAGGTTTACTTTTATTAAAAAAAATATTGTCTCATTTTTTGGGACACAGGGTCAGTTTTAATATTGATAACACCTTGTTTTGCTTTTGTGGGATACGGTGTTAGCTTTTGCTATGAATAACACTCAGTTTTACTTTCTGGTACACTTTTCTGCTAATATTATTAACACAGTGTGTCAGTTTTTTTGTTTTTTTATTATCTATAACACATTATCTAACATATCTTATTTTCTAGAACACAGTATTGAGTTTTATCATGTATAATACAATGTCTCACTTTTCTAGAACACAGTATTGAGTTTTATCATGAATAATACAATGTCTCACTTTTCTAGAACACAGTATTGAGTTTTATCATGAATAATACAATGTCTCACTTTTCTAGAACAAGTATTAAGTTTTATCATGTATAATACAATGTCTCACTTTTCTAGAACACAGTATTGAGTTTTATCATGAATAATACAATGTCTCACTTTTCTAGAACACAGTATTGAGTTTTATCATGTATAATACAATGTCTCACTTTTCTAGAACACAGTATTGAGTTTTATCATGTATAATACAATGTCTCACTTTTCTAGAACACAGTATTAAGTTTTTATTATAAATAAACTAATATCTCCTTTTCAGGGACAGAGGGTTGTTCAGTTACAATATATAACTCATTATTCCACTAATAGTAGAAGTATTTTTTATCTTAAGTTATTTTTGAGAAACTTTCAAACTTCAATCTCTACGAGTAACAATAATAATGACCTAAATTATGTCTATTTTACCTTCCAACAGAATGGTATTGGTGGGAATTGTGAAACGTGGTACCAAATCCAGTCTATTCAATCTCCTGACTTCCCCAGTTACGGTCCTGTTTTGAACATCACAAAGACAAGAGACTATAAACACTGTATCCATAGGCCTGCGTATGTTCATCATAATCATGATATTCGTGGATGTGCATGGGTTTGTTCTCATAGCCCAAATATGATCCCTCTTCACACACATTCTAATTATCTTCATCACCCATTTTCGGAATGTATAGGATGTCCAAAAGGGTATGAAACGGTAAGTTATAACTAAAGAAATCGCAGAAGTCACATTATAAGTTGAATTAAATTAAACATTGATAACTTTGTTAACAAATTTTACTCCTTACAAGCTACCAGTGCCTTAAACAGTTTGAATTCTATATCTACTAGTTAACTGTTATTATAATAATAAACTATAGTCATAACTTTTTGAAAATGAAATATTTTAACTGTTTTATTATTTATACGACATATATTTGTGGATTTATTTGTTCTCGTATATTTTCATTTATACAGGACAGTATTCTTGCCAAATCATATTCTCACACGAAGTACAATGTTAGTGGTACATTGAACAACATGACGATTGAGCAGATTTACAGTTATGGGAAGACTGTATATCCTGCCTACGGCGACGAACTTGAGGTCATCTCTCAGTAAGTGAACTTTCAAATAGAAACAATAAACGAAGAGGTACAGTTTTATATTTCTTAATATAAGCTTAGCTGCGTTGATTCACACATATTTTAGATTTGTTGTTTGTTTGTTTTTACACCACGCGTAATTAATTAAAATATTTAGTCGTAGCTGATGACTGGTTGTTCGACCATCATCACAAGCTCTCACGGTAAAAATCAGTCCCCTCGTGATACAGCTGTAATTTTACAGACGATAAAATTCGAGGCTCGTTCTCTGCGGTAGAGACCGCAGATGGCCCAAAGTAGATTTTCTTTATAAACAAACATTGAAAAAGTTGTTTTGAAAATTAGATTTCATTTAAACAGGTGACAACTCTATAGTACGAAATACTTACAAACTATCAATATACATCTACTTTCGATACAAAATTTATTTTACAGTATTAGCCATTGTCTATTAATCCACAAACTTTACAAAGTCCATAAACTTTACATACGAATAGTCAAATCATAGCCAGGTTTCAATAAAAGGAAAATAAATATTTTGTATAGATAAATGGATGATTTAAATTGCTTTTAAATCTAAATGCAGTTAAGACAACATTCATCACACTGAAAGATCTTAGCTATTTTATTACTGTAAAATCATATGTGAAATATTCAGTGTAGGCTGACAATTATATGCATTTATTATTATTGTAAGGAATTTTTATCTCTTAATATAAAACCGAAAATTTTAAATGAATGCAATAAATTGTAAAGTTGGCAATGAATGCAGTACTTTCGATATTAAACCATATTTTTAGCCGCGGCACAGCGGCTCATATAATGGCTCTGAATTTTTCAAGTACAAACTTTTAGGTCATATCTCCACCATCTCTTGACCAATTTGATATCTTATTACAGTTTTGGACTCAAGAGGTTAAATCCTTTTGATTGATGTATTTGACCATGCCCATGGTCTCATAGATTAGTTCACTCTTATCCTGCCTATAATAATTTCAAGTGTCGCGGCTATTGAAGATTCCCTCTTGTTTTCATAAGCGGTACTTCTTTTGTTCGACTTCAATATACTCTGATGAATCCAGACAGCGACAAGACAATAAACTAGGTTCTGTAAAATAAAGGTAGGACGAGAAATATAGATTTCTGACCACTTACTTTATTTTCTGTTATTTGAAATCCTACAATATGGGATTTTCCCTGACCGTTTCAATATTTTCTTTCCCATTGAGTATTTTATCTAGTCAATCCAAGTGTTCATTGTTCGCATCCCGTTCGGCCCACACTTTGGTACCATGGGAGTGCTATAAGAGTGACGGTTAAATCCCAATTATTTGATTAGACAAAATTTGTCTAAGATCTGATGCTGGATACTGTTTACTAGCAGAAAAATAAAGGTTCTATTGTTTGCCAGTTCCAATCAAGGGGGCCTGGCATGGCTAGGTGGTTAGGGCGCTCGACTCGCCATCCGAGGATCGTGGGTTCGAATCCCCGTCACACCAAACATGCTCGCCATTTCAGCCGTGGGGGCGTTATAATGTTACGGTCAATCCCACTTTCGTTGGTAAAAGAGTTGGCGGTGGGTGATGATGACTAGCTGCCTTCCCTCTAGTCTTACACTGCTAAATTAGGGACGGCTAGCGCAGATAGCCCTCGTGTAGCTTTGAGCGAAATTCAAAAACAAACAAACAATCAAATCAAGGGACAGACATGCACTGAAAACCCTTGTGTAGCGTTCCGTGAAAATACAAATACTGGGAGGTAAAGGAGATTGTGAAATTGTGAGACGACGGTTAAATAAGATGCATCTCGCTCAGTCTTGTTCTGTGTGGCTCGCGCCAGAACTTTATTAATCAATATTGAACAGAGTTTAATAAACAGGAATTTCTGGTAATTTAATCGGGGACAAGTGATGTACACGTTATTAATTACTGAAACAATAACTTCAGATTGTAAGCAGGTTATTTATCTCTAAAAGAACAACCGTAACTTAAACATTCTAATCTAGAATTATCAACTCGCCTATCAGGTTTCAAAGTTTAATTAAAGTAAAGTTGAGACTGAACCCAAAATACAGTCACGTATGTTTGTTTTCTTGTCTATCAATAGATAATTAAGTAGAATGAAAATCGCTTACTCAGTTTATAGAAATCAGTTCCTGTAGAAATGTCAGTTAAGGGATAATATACTTATTGTTTTCCCTTTAATGAAATCATGAAAAAAAATCCAATAGTTTATTTTATTCGTAATTTTTACCAACACTTTATACAAACTTTTTGTAGAAAAAAAAGCATTTTCAACTTGCATTATTTGACTCTAAATGGCAGCTACCTGTAATCAATTCTTGACATAATCCAAAGCTGTATTTTCCTGACCTAGAGACATTATGCTTTGTCGATATTAAATTGCTTAATGGTTGCTCAAAAGCTTTACCCAAACCAGTGGTTCACGTCCTGCTCTGTAGATGCAAAGAAAAAAAGAGAGAAAAAATGGCGCTTTGCACTTGGGAGCCACGGGGGCGTTATAAGAGTGAAAGTCAAATCCCATTATTCGGTCCTATAAGTGTATCCCAAGAGTTCGCGGTCGATGTTGTTGACTAACTGTCTTCCCTCTAGTCAATGGTGGATGTTGTTGACCAACTATCTTCCCTCTCGTCTATGGTGAATGTTGTTGACTAACTGTCTTCCCTCTAGTCTATGGTGGATGCTATTGACTAACTGTCTTCCCTCTAGTTTATGGTGGATGTTGTTGACGTTCCTCTAGTCTATGGTGAATGTTATTGACAAACTGTCTTCCCTGTAGTCTATGATGCATGTTGTTGACTTTCCTCTAGTGTATGGTGGAAGTTATTGACTAACTGTCTTCCCTCCAGTCTATTACTTCAAACTTAGGAAAGGCTAGCTCTATCAGCTTTGCGTTAAATCCAACAAAGAAACAAATAATCAAAAGCTTGAAAACGCCCCCACCCCTTTATCGGGGGTGAATGGTTGCTACCACATGCTTGTCAAACACAAAGATATACCTATTACGTTACCATTGCTTCAGTTATATGTTATGGAAAAAAAAAAGAGTCTTTCTTAAATCTAAAGAGAATGCGTATAAGAATCGTAAATAGTTTAAATTCTCCATCACATTGGCTGTATAGATACTTACTAAATAACACATGAGAAGGTGTAATAGTTTTAGTGATACATGGATATACTTCTACAAACACAGCTACCTTACTATTACACATCTAGAACTAGAGAAAATGCTCAATGTGTAAGAAAATATTACAGAGGTCAGTAAAATTTCCATCCTATAGGATTTCAAATAGATAATGGAAAGTAAATTAAGAAATATTATCAGAAATCCATGTTTCACTTCATTGGCTGTATATTACAGTTGCGCAAAATATTTTATGAGCTAATGATGTTGTATATTGATTATCACAGGAAACACGTGTAAATTTTTTTCACATTTGAATTTATGACTTTCTTTCATCAACAGCCAAAACCTGACATTTAGATCTGTTACCCCATCACAATATGGAGAGTCGGAATACAGATCGTCTCAGCCAATCAGACACTCTAATCTTACATTCCAGTTGCCTCAGCCAATTGTATCTGATCCTACTGATAGCGTTGAACCCTCTATGTGGACTGACAGAGTCTCAAGATACACAAAGTCGGATTTGTTCGTGACAAAAGAAAACGAAATAAGAACAAATTCGTCGTTGGACATCTCTTTTATGTCTATCTTTAACCCTATCTACCCAAGTGAGGTGAAAAATACAATCATACAAATCTTGGAAAGTCTTGCCGATGATATCTCTCAAGAGGATCTATATAATTCTGAAAGCATTTCATACAAGATTATTGGTTTGATTAATGCTCTATCTGTCATGTCATCCCACTATATGAAGGCCCTGGTTAAAGAAGTCATTTCAGCGACAGCCGATAGACGACAATATGAGAAACATCAAATTATGAGGTAGGACATGAAATCAAATAATATTACGTTATTTTGTATAAACTCAACATTTTTATCCAAAAGTGAACAGATTAAACACATCCGTGAATTTTGTTGTTGTTGTTGTTTTATTTCTTACAAACCTTGAAGTTTGAAGACTTGCAAAAGTTTTGATCTGCTTCTGCTTGTCGTAGCCAAGTATTATCGAGTTATAGTCCTGACTTGTTGAAAATATGCGAATATACTTCATTAAATTGCCAACGCTTCAAACTCAAATGTAGGCGATAATACCCAACATCTTTACATCTACTAATACCTGGAATGTTTGTAGCATTTTGTTAGTTCAGGATTTATAATCATTTTGAAAGATGTCATTAAATGAATTTTAACGTGATTATTAAGAATGAATTAAATGTAAATTTTTTATTTTATTTTGTCTTTGTTAATTTGAACAAGAATTTGATCTTATCAGATTTTTTCAACGAAGATTAGGTTACGTAACACTAAAGTGTGTAATAACTGCACAGTAGGGATAGTAAACATATTTTAAGTTGTAATCTGTAAGTTCGTTCCATTTCCCAAGACTCCCGACGAGACCTAATGGTTAGATAGCCTAAACTGTGAATCCGAAAGTTCATGGTTCTAGTCATTGCCGCCAAAAATGCGCTTGGCATTTTGGGGCTGTGGGTGGGTGTATAAAATTGACGGCCAAATTCCTGTAATGGATCAGACAAGAGTAGCCCAAGAGTTGGCGGTGGGTGCTGTTAACTAACATGGACATTTTAAAATATTCATTCCTAAGTACATTTTTACAAAATTATCTTAAAAAAATGTCTTAACAATATCTTCATGCTCTAACGTGTTTGTTGTTTATGTTCTCTGGTAGGAAACTGTTACTCGATGCTCTTCCTCAGAGTGGTTGTAACCCTGCTGTTCACATCATCGTCTACTTGATTGAACATAAATTAGTCAGTGTGAACGAGGCTCGCGAACTTGTGGAAGGAATTCCCCATAATTTGGTTGATCCATCTGAATATACAATTAATGAAATGTTTGTGAGTATAAACCAAATGTACTTCCTTCGCATGTCAGCGTACCAGTTAAAAAAATATTAGCTCAAATAATAATAAAAAAACGTATATATGATAAAAACAACTTATTTGTCATTCTATTGTTATGAAATTAAAGGTAATACTTCGGGTTAAATAATATATTCAAGAATTTTGGTTCAACTGTACTTTTTTCAACTTGTTCGTGATTCTAATATGCTTTTACTCTTCTTATGCCTCCCAGTGGCACAGCGGTATGTCTGCGGACTAACAACTCTAGAAACCGGGTTTCGGTACCCGTGGTGGGTAGAGCACAGACAGCTCATTGTGTAGCTTTGTGTTTGACTTCAAACAAACAAACTTTTATTGTAGCTTATAATAAACAGCTTGTGATACCAAGGACATTGTAGAATGATTTATCTTACCAACTATAATGAATGAATACTATCAAGTTGTTAGTTTTTTTAGATATTTTAATTAGCACTGGCAATGCAAATTTTTTTACAACTTCAGTTTATTTTCTAACCTATTACAGGAACTGATTCAAAATCCAGAAGTTCAGGCCCATCGCACGCTCTTTTCCTCGGCATCCATTGCTTTTGGAAAAATGGTTCATCGGGCATGTTTAACTCCTAAGATAAGATCTCCAAGTTCTCCGTACAGTAAGAGGCATGGGTATTCTGTTCCTGTAACGAGCTCCTTCTTTGGGTTTGACCAAGAACAAGGCCACATCAGAACTCCGTTTCATCCTGCCGTTTGTGGTCCTGAACATGCCAAACATTACATTGAGGCAAGTTACTGTACGATAGGAGTGTTTTATTCATGTATTTAAAATTTTAGAAACGAATTGATATCTCCCCTTAAAGCTACTTCTACGGAATGTCTGAAGCGACAATTCTTTTACGCCATTAATCTTTTCAATGAAAAATTACGTTATTTATTACTAACTCTGATGACAGCAAATCAGGGTTTCCAAACAATATCAGGTGAATTAAAAGATTTTTATTTCACACATATGACGTTGGCCTTTATTATTATTTTATATTTCTATTGAATTATTCGTATCTTTTCGAAACACAAATGCATATTGTTTATACATATAGTAATGGAATAAAAAAAAGTGCAATATACTAGAAAGAGTTCCTTGTATTACTGCTTGCTATCTTAATGTATCACGACAATGAGAATAATTGACATCCAGTATGTCTTTACAGAACCCTAATTCCCCAAATTAGTTTTTTCTGCAAGATATAGTGTATATTTAAAGGTCCAATGATTTTTCTGTGTGTAAATAAAGTGGATGATTAATTTATAAAGAAGATTTACTAAGATGTGCTGGACATTTCAGTTTTAATAGTTTTTAAACTAAAATTAAATTTTAAGTTGTAACTTTTTTCGTAGAAAATGAAAAGAATCAAATACCTTTATAAAACTTTCTTGTGTCGAATCGTCAACTACATAAAGATAGTACATAGTACAACGAGTGCAAAATGTTAAAAAATTAAAAAAAAGCCTTTCCCATAATGTAATAAATAGATTCACCACATTTATAGAAAAATATATAACGAATGAAACACAGAATCGTTTACGAAAATGTAGTGCTCTAATCAGAATTTTCATGTTGTCCATAATGTTTTAACTCAAACTTTTCTCTCTCATTCATCAGAAAGTAGCTGATCTTCTAGAATCTGCAGGAGAGTTTTACAAAAAGATAGCCTACATAGAGCTTTTGTCTCACATCGGTCATCCTAATGTTCTGTCCTACCTGAAACCATATGTCATCTATAAGTCTCCAAGCTGCCAATCTTTACACATTGATGAATCAGCCCCTGAAAACAGTTGCACTTTTCTCCGCCAGGTGGCCATTTACGCACTCCACCATATCGTCTATACACACCCTCAAGAGGTAAGAACTGTGCTTTAGTAAGACACTTATAAAATGATCACACAATTCCTGGTAAATGGCTGTCTTGTCTTAAAAGTCATAGATTTAATACGATGAAAAGTAGAATTATTTGTCTTAAATATTTTGGTATTATAATTAAAAATGTTACGATTATTTATTACTGTAAAACTTAAAACTCGTTTGATTATTGATTTTTTGCGCAAAGTTACACAATTACGCTCTGTCCATTGCGGAGTATGGAACCCCGAATTTTAGCGTTGTAAGTCTGTAAACTTACCGCTGATTCACTGGTGGATGATACATTTGAACAACAGTAGCTGGCATACTATCTAATCTTAAATAATGTCATAAAAATGAAATCTATACAAATTAAGTGACATAAATGAATTAGGTATTATGCTTAACATTAAACCTTCGTGAATTTCTTAGTTTCGTTGTTTCTATAAAAAGATAGCAATCGGAAAATTTATCAAGTGCAATCAGTTGATAAGCTCACTCATCATATACACTTTTGTACGTTAGAATAAAATGTATATTAAAAATGCATCGATATAAAACTTTTCTTTATGTAATTTTTTTTTTAAATGCATCAAAAGTAGGTATGCATATTGAATATTAGTTTGTATTTGAACTATATTTTATTACGTTTAATTCAACTTTCAGCCTTCAGTCATATACTTTCAAGTTTGAACACGTTATGTTGGCGTTTTTTATATGTTAAGCTACTACTATTAGTACTAATTAGGCCTAAGCCCGTGGTTACATTTTTACACGCTTTAACATAAAACATATTTAGTCTTTCTCAGGCTTAGCTACGTTAGGTACCAAGCTGGTCAGTTAGTTCATTACTATGTCGCGTTGTTTTATTCACCGATACAACAGTGCGTCCATTAGTGACGGGATCATAACAACTGTTCGACAAACAGTACTGTACTTAAACATCCGCAGCACTAACTTATGAAATTACTACCACTTGGCTTTCTAATTCCTGGCTCATTGATTTGAGATAACTCTCCTGCTTCTCAAACTGAAGCCACAATAATGGAGACAAGCATAGGAGCTACATACACTCTAGCAAAATCATCATCTAAAAGCAGTTACAATATACGATTAAATGTTAATGGTATATAGGCTACATTCTTGGTTAGATGCTTTATGTAAACAATCATTCAAAACTCATCTTTTTTCTTTAGAATATGATTGTTTTAAAGTTTAACATGTAATGAACGTTTTTTAATATATTTACTTTGTACTGACTTTTTAATGCAACGAATATGACACACGATAGTACAATTTCGTTATCATCACGTGACGACTGGCTTCGATTTCAACTTTAGTTTTTATTTGCAAAGTATTTCATACAAACAACACTTAATCAGCATGTAAATTTCCCTAAACAAATTACCATTACACTAAATACAATTTCTATGGACTTTATCAACTTACTTAGATCTAAAAGACGCATAAGCAGTTCGTTCAAAACCATATGTTCATCATTTTGTGAACACGCATTCAGACGTTTCTGCGTATTCAGCTAATTTTATCTTCATTACAATTGTACATTTACTTTACATTGCAATAATTTAGCTTTGGTTCGTTTCATAGACTGCTGTAAACACCATTTAGTTACTCTTTTCTTTACTACGGGTTTTATGCTTCGTTTTTTGTGAGTTTCTTTGTTTCGACTCGTAAAACCATGCCATACACTAAACGTTCATAACTGTTTCATACTCTGTACACTATTATAAATACCATTACTTTACGTTATTGTTTAATTTACATGTAGTTTTATTAAATATATTTACGTCTACGTGAGATTGTTTGCCTGACTGCTTAAAAGTTTTTGAAATAGACCAGGCTATATCGATCTAACATATAATGTCTGCAAGAAAGCGTAGCTTAAATGGCGTGCATGAAAATAATAGAATAAGGAAAGTTCAAGTGAAGGGCACTCTCTCAGTTCATAATGATAGACCAGGGAGGTCAGGTTCAAGATGACCTCTTCCTCCTTTCCGAACTGTAATTTTTACTGCTGATGATATGTTGATGTAAATACAACATGAGGGTCGGAGTAAACCGCACTTGCTCCGACCCCTTTCAGGGCAATGTCCATGTAGGTATCTACAGTTGTATTCTTGTGTTGTGCATTACATCTCTTAGTTCGGTATTGTATATTCTTACACTTAGCGAACAGTTCCATATATACCAACAACACACTTCACTAGTTAGAGGCTAATTGAATGCATTTTACATAAAATACCCTATTAAATGTATTGTTCTTAGGTTCTAGCTAGTGTAGGGTTTTAAAGCCTACTAATAGGTGGCCTTATTATATCTTTATTTCTAAAATATATGTTTACAGGTGAGAGGTACTTAGGTCTACTTCCATTATGTGTGTAGTAGTGATCAAGTTCGCAGAGTAGGTCATTCTTTTGCCAATTTCTCGCAAAGTAATTTAGAGTATTGTGCAATAGTCTATCGGCTATTGTTTGTATGTTTGCATATCTGTGCATAAATTTAATGAGGTACTGCGGGGTGCTTTATATGCTGTGGTAATAAATGAGTTTTGTATAGATTGTAGTTTATTTATGAATTTGGGAGCTATGTTTATCCATGCGGGGCAAGCGTATTCTATGATCGAACGTATACATGTTTTGTATATTTTGATAATGTTGTCGGGTGGTGTTCCCTGGTTTTTGCCTGTTAGATTTCTTGCGTAATTTGTACGTTTCCAGATTTTTGTTAATATATTATTAGTATGTTTTACCCACGTCAGTTTTGGGTCATAGGTTAATCCTAAAAATTTTGCAGAGGTTATGATCTGGAGAAGTGTTCCATTCATGTATAATTTAGACGGGTCTTTTTTATGTTTTGTTAGTCTTGTGAAAGTAAGTAATTGGTTTTTAGGAACGTTTGTTTTTATTCGATATTGTTGATAATATTCGTCTATATTATTTAATAATGGTTGTAAATTTGTTGCTGCTATGGATGGGGTGAGGGCACTTTTCCAGACCGCAAAGTCTTCCACTAATTGTGATGCGAACCCATGGTTAGGGTCTTTTAGAGGCATATTGCTCACATACATGATGAATAGAATAGAGCTAACTACCCCTCCTTGGGGTACTCCTACCTCTGGGCTGAATGTCTCAGAGTAGGTTCCCCTTACATTAATTTTACATTGTCTAGTTTCCAAAAAGTTGGATAGCCAGCGAATAATCACCCGCGGTAGTTCCAATTCCGTCATGCGGAACCTAAGACCATTGCGCCAGAC